TGCGGAAGAGGGGATCATGGCGGAGGAGAGAGCGCAGCGGCGGCGGCAGTCATGGCTGTGGAGCGTGGAGTGGTTCGCGTCGTGGCCGCTGAGGCGACTCAGCCACACGTGGCGCCGGGTATGCCGTGAACTTCGCATGGTGGCTGGTTGCATGGCACGACTCCGCCACACTCAGCACCTGGAGAAACATCGCCGCCACACTCAACACAATATAATAGTGTTCTGTCACTATGTCCCCTCGCGTTCTCCTTCCACTTCCCCGCTTTCACACTCCCTCGGTACCTCGCTCCCAGAGTCCCCGCCTTTCCCTATCCTAGAGTCTCCCCCATTCCCCCCTCCCAGAGTCCCCCTTTTTCCCCCCTCCCAGTGTCCCTCCCTTTCCCCCTCCCAGAGTCCCCCCCTTTGCCTGCGTCACCAGAGTTTCCACACCCCCATGCGCCTTACTCCCCCCTACCAGCGGCTGCCCGGCTGTGGGGGCCACCAGCCTTGGCATTCTGGCTCTTGCGCTCGTGACGGTGTGGCAGCACTCGTTTTCAGACGTCTCAGAAGGATATTTCTCTCCTCCCCCTTCCCCCCCCCTCTCCTCCCTCCTCTTCCGCGGCTCCGTGACTTCCCCCCACCAGCGGCTTTTCTGGCTGTGGGGGCTAGCAGCCCTTTGCATGTTGATCCTGGTGCTGGTGTCGGCGTGGCGGCTCTCAGAGAGGGACGCGTGGGACGAGCTGGCAGCGCACTGTGACGAGTGGGCGGCGTTCGTCGAGGGCAAGTTCAACACCACGGCTGCCAACACGCACTCTCTCGCCGATTTCGTCCGCGCCTACTACCTCGATAGGTAGGTATGCAGCCTTGAGTTCACCGAGAGTTCAGTTTTCAGGGGCCTTATTCAAAGACACACCAGCTCGTTCGCTGTAGCCCGGATTGTGTAGCTGCCGTCTTCTGCTGGGCCTAGAACGGCGGAAATTCGGGATTGAATGGCCCACTTTGACCTGGCACGATGTTGATTCCACCCACCTACCCACCCACCCACTCCCCCCCCCCTTCTGGCGCCTGTAGTCATGTCCTGGGTGTCTTGTGAGGGAGTCGACTCACATGCCACTTCCTCCCCCTTCCTCGCCCTTCGTCCCCCTTCGTCCCCCTTCCAATCAGCGCGAAGGAGAGCTTTCGCAACGTGGCCAAGTTCCAGGGGTTCACTCAATCCACTCTCGACGCCCGCCCCATGGCATCATGTGAGCCCCATGGCATCATGTAATTTACATTTGAGCTGACCCATGGCATCATGTGAGTCCCATGGCATCATGTGAGTGAGCCCCATGGCATCATGCGAGCTACATGTGAGCTGACCCTTTGCTTGCATCATGTGAGCCCCATGACCCCTCCTCCTCCATCCTACGTTGTCTTTCCTTCGCCCATGTCACCGCCGTCATCCCAGTTGTGGGGTTCTCATTCCTCTTCAACAGCTCAGCAGAGCGGGCCGCATTGGAGAGGGAGACGGGGCAGTGTGTGTTCGGCTACGGCCCGAGCGGCACCTTCCCCTGCCGCCCCATGGGCGAGCCCATGTACTCGCCGGTCGTTTTCTTCAACATAAGGCCAGGATTCAACACCCTGCTGGACTTCAGCAGCAGATGCTGCCTGGACATCATTTCAGGTGCTCACTTGATATAATTTAGTGCTCACTTGATATAATTTAGTGCTCGATTTAAGAAGAGGCCCCTCCGTCGGCGAGCCCATGTACTCGCCCGTACATGAGGCCAGATTATGACTCCCTTGTGGGCTTCAGTTCAGGAGCGGATTAGATGCTGCCTGGACGTCAGGTCAGGTGTTCACTTGCAGTCGTAGGAGGACTCACACTTCTGTAGGAAGAACTCAACTGTTGTAGCCCCATTGGCTGCACCCTCCATGCGGGTTTAGTAGACTGATTGCGCGTGTCATGTTCAAATCCGTTCCCCCCTCCCTCAGATCCAAGTTTCGACGCCACAATTCATCGGTCCATCGCGCTGGCCTCATCTGCCATAGCACCACCTTTCATGCGCGGGGACTACCCCTACCACTACCTCGGCAACTGTTTCCCCGTCTACCACAACCGCACCACCTTCGCCCTGCCTCCCACATACCCCCCTCCCACGCCCTCCTCCCTCCACCTCCCCGCCCTCGCCCACCCCGGGATACTCCCGAGAGGCTTTCTCCTTGTGGTGTATAACTTTGCGAGCCTGCAATCGATGGTGGGCTTTAAGGAGCTGGTGGATCCGAATGCACGGGTCTATCTGGTGGATGGGACAAGGGATGGAGATTGGGATGGGGTTGCGGGTACTTGGGTGCCAAAATTGATGTTTGAGCAAGGGGGGGTGGTGGGTGAGGAGGAGATTGGGAGGTGGATGGTGGATTTAGAGGGGAAGGAGAAGGCGAATGTGGGAGGGAGAGTTCAACGTGTAGTGTACCTCGGGGACTCGACGAGACGCTTCTACCTCTTCTGCGAGTGAGTTCATTCCACGTGCATGTCAATTATTTTTTGAGTTGCCTCACAACGAGACGCTTCCATCTTTTTGTGCGAGTGAGTTGATTCCACGTGCTCGTCAACCCCCCTCCCTTCCCCCCATCAACCGAAATCACTTGTTTGACTTCTCTTCACGCCATGCCAATTTGTACATACCATGTTGCCGGCTAGTAGTGCGCGAAACCACCTCTAGCCACCCTGCCACGTCCCTCCCTCCCCTCCATCCTTACCCTCCCCACTGCCCTTATACCCACAGGCGCGCTTCCTACACAAAGCCCTTTGGTCCCTTTGTGTGGATGGTGGTGGCGGTGCTCTTCCTAGCCGTGTCCACGTTCCTCTTTTGGACGTGCATCCAACTCATGGACGCCTTCGAGTCAGACTGCCACCACATGACCGCCGCACAGCACGAGCTCAGGGCTGCTCGGTTGGAGGCCGAGGCGGCCAGCCAAGCCAAGGGGGAATTTTTGACGACCATGTCGCATGAGATCCGCACACCCATGAACGGCGTCATCGGTATGTTGATCTAGTGCGGATATGCTGTGTCTGGGATTGCTCGTGTCTACACATATACTTGTTCGTTCGTTAGGCCTTGCACGTATCTCTGATGGGTGTTAATTGTCAGTGAGATCAAGGAAGTGGTGGATGGAAGCGGCAAGCACGCCTGCTGGCCCTGCGCTCCTTAATTTATTCTCTCCTCCCAACTCATGATTATGCCCCTCCCCCTCCCCTCCCCTTTCCCTTTCCTATGTTGGAAGGAGCGCACATTTGGTTTCGCGTTTTGCGTTTATACGAGGGTAAAATCGTATGCTGCGTTTTGGGTGTAGAAAAAAAAACGCACAGGCTGACCGCGAAAAAAACAACATAAAAATTCCGCGACTATCGCGATTGGCGAAACTAGAAGATGGTTTCGCTCATCGCCAATTCAACTTCGAAATTGAATTTTGGATTCAAAGCGCACCGAAAAATTATCCCAAGGCGGTGTAAAAAAACCTGGGATAGGTAGGGGGAGGCAAGGGGATTATGTTTTACAACATTTTTTCTCCAAATTGTATCACATAAAAAAGTTTTGGCATGTCAAATCCACATGTCAACGACAACCACATGTACTACCTACTACCACCCTCTAATCAACAGCACCCTCCGTCTTCCTTCCACCGCCCTCCTACCCAAAAGCCCCCCATGCTTCTTAGCTGCCGGCGCCACTCCCTCGTCTCCTCCTACTCCTCCTCCTCCTCCTCCTCCTCCTCCTCCTCCTCCTCCTCCTCCTCCTCCTCCTCCTCCTCCTCCTCCTCCTCCTCCTCCTCCTCCTCCTCCTCCTCCTCCTCCTCCTCCTCCTCCTCCTCCTCCTCCTCCTCCTCCTCCTCCTCCTCCCCATACTCGTCCTCGAGCACGGGCTCATCTCCATACTCATCCTCCACTAACTGCCCCTCCTCATCGACGTTGTATCCTTTTGGAATGGGAGCATCCGGGATGTTCACCGCAAGAACCGCCCTAGTCTCCTCGCTGGTTTTGTGCCAGTTGCGCACAACGTTCCAGTTGTGCGCAACAAACACCAAGTCCCGGCACTTCTCGGTCCCGAGACGGTTGCGGCGTGCAGCGTGCACCGATTCCCACACCGCCCACCCGCGCTCGCAGCTGGATGCAGACACCGGCTGCGTGAGCACACGACACGCGAGCTCTGCCAGCTCGGGGTGGTCGGTCCCGTGCCAGGTCCACCAGTCCTCCATACTTAGACTCCCCTCCTTCACCTTCTGCCGCTGCATTATTGCGTCGGGTTTGCCGAAGGAACCCCTCAGCTTCAGGAATGCAGTCACTCCCTCCTGCAGAACCACTGCCGCACTCTTCTCCTTTGCCTCCTTACGATCGATGGTGATGGTGCTGCTGTATCGGCCAATGAACTCCTTGAACAGGCCCGTGCACTCCTTGTCGAGGCCAAAGATCTTAGCAACCTGGTTGGCCGGGTTGAGGATCCGGCCAACAGCATGCAGTGGGCAAGCCATGCTGACGTCCCACCGATGCTGGATGATCCCCCCAATCCCCTCCTTATCCTCCGGCGTCAGCTGCAAGTCTTCCTTCTTCAACAGATGTGTCACGTCCACAGTGAGTTTGAGCATGAGCTCATAAATCTGCCCCATCATCCCCTTCGCCGAGGAGTCAGTCGACCGCATCACAAGGTAGGGCAGCTTCAACAGCTTGACAAAGAACTCAGCTGCTGCCCACCAAGCCTGGTTAAGCACAATGCTCTGGATGGAATCGGCCGCTGCCTTCTGCTTCCCTACGGCCCACGCCTTCCACGTTTCGCCCGCCACCAACACAGTCAGCTTCCCGTGGAGGTCTACAAGCCTCGACACTGCAATGTACTGGGTTCCGAACCGGGTGCCCGCTGGCTTCAACAGCTGCAGCACCTTGCCCCTCAGCTCCCCCGGCTCGCGCAAGAAGTTCCTCGTCCAGTGGTGATTGCGGACGTAATTAATCACCTCGTTCGCACCCTCAACCACCCTCTTCGCCCACACCTGCTTTCCCACGTCTTCCATGAGCAGGTCTAGGACATGAGTGGCGCACGGCACGTGCTCAATGTGCGGCCACTCCTCCCTCAACACCTTGCAAGCCTTGCCGTGGTTACTCCCCCCATCCGTGCATAGCGCCACCACATTCGCAAGCCCGATTTTCTGGATGATAGGGCGGAGGATGCCGGCAATGTACCCACCTGTCTTCGTCTCCATGCGGCAGTCAATGCAGTCGACAAACATGGCGCCGAAGTCATTGACCAACATGACGTTCGCTTGCGGCCTCTCGCACCGGTCCGTCATCATGTCTGAAGCCGCGGTGGCGCCATGCCTCTCCCAATTCTGTTTGAGTGCATCAAGGGCGAGATCGATGCGGGTGCGACACTCCTTCAACCCCGCTCCTCCAATGTACGTGCGTTTGGGCGGCACGTACGTTGTTCCCGCACGAGCGACCGCATGTACGGCATCGACGAAGAGTGGGTGGTCGGCATGACGTTGTGGGATGCGGAGGGCTGCAAACATGAGGCACAATGCCGCATCCGCCTCACGCTTAGCACATGCCGCGCCGTTGCTGAAATATGTAGTTATCTTGCCCCGCTTTCCCCCTCCCCCCACGGCCTCCACCGCATCCGCGACCTCCTTACGCTTCTGGGCCTTGACAGACGCCTTCCCTTCGTATAGTGCTTGCATTGCCTCCCTCACCTCCTTTGGCGCCGAGGGACATTCCTTGACCTCCCGCCGCCCCTGTCCTTCCCACTCCGCGAAATGCATAACGCACCGGTTGGGAATGCCAACAAAAGACAGCCCGCAATAACGACATTCCACCCTAGCCGTGGCAACCCCGGCCTCCTTAACTCTAACTTTGTAATGCTTGTAAATATCATGATTAGACTCTGCCTCGTAAATATTTGACGCTGCAGACGCTGTAGGATTAGCGTCTGCAGCATTAGGGGGGGTCGACATGGGCGTGGGCCCTTAACTTAGCGCGAAATTAGGTTGCCAGGGTGAGTGGGCGTGGGAGATGAGAGAATGACGACTAGATATGAACTACGGCTATGGCGCGCGGAACTCCAGGGTTCCCGTTTCTCATGGGGAAGAGATTGTGATGGAAGAAGGGGAGAAAGTGGTTAGGTTGGAGTGGTCGTAGATGAACAGGGTGCTGTGCGGTTGAGCAGGGCAAAAGAGTTGGATGCGTTTTTTGGTCTCTAGGTTGGGATTTGCGACTTGATGAATGTCTAGTTGAATTCGCCAGGTCGCAATGTCGCGAAAAAAATTTGGTCGATTTTCTCGTCGGGCTGCCCCTAAAATTTTACCCAAGCGTTTAGCGTTTAAACGCTAAATGCTGCCAGGCCAGAGCGTTTGCGGTCACGTAGCTCCACGCCTCCTGCTTTCGCTGGGGCCTCTAGTAGTACTCTCTTTTGCCCTGACAGCACCCATGTCATTTTCTAGCTAAGTGGGAAAATTCGCGTTTCGTGTAAATTCGCTGACAAATTTACGCTGGCGTAAATTCGCCCGAACGCCAGGGCCCTGTTTTGAATTTGTTGGGAAATTCGTTCCGCCCGGGCAGTTAAAAAATGCCCCGGCAGGCCTAAAAAAAAGTTCCCAGGCAGGGGGGGCGTGGGGGGTTTCAGGGCAACTCTTTTTAAGCAAGAAAGTTTTAGCACAAAACAAATATTGCTTCTCAAAGTTTATGGCCATAGCATGTTCTAGAGTTTGGGGGGGATCCTTCGCAACAACAGCCCTGCAGCAACGTACAGCAACATCATACTCGTGAGGTAAGCTAATGTCTATGCGGTAAGCTACTAGATCTACTAGCTAGGATGCGGAGTGATTAGCTAGATCTACTCTACGTCTGGTAGAGTAGCGTGTGAGATGCGTGATATGGTTGCGTAAGTTGTGTTGGGTGCTGGATGGGTTGGGTTATCTAGATGCGGTGGGGTTTGATGCGGTTGGGAGAGTGGGAGGGGTTGGGAGCATGTTTGGAGGTTCAAAAGTTAGAATCGCGAATTGGCGAGGCCATGGATGGCTTCGCCAAGTCGTCGCGAATCTAGTGGGAAAATTCGCATTTTTTTTGTCCGGGCTGCCCGGAAAATCTTCCCCCAGCGTTTCGCGAATTTCAGGTAAATTCGCAAACACGAATTTACGCTTACGAATTTACGCAAAACGCTGGGGGACCCCAACGAATTTGCCCACTTAGTTTTCTAGCACTTCAATGTCCTGGTTGACAATTCTAGTGACAGCGCAACCAAGATATGCAAGTACCGTGAGTTCAAGTTCGTCGGCGGCATGTACCTGTGCGCCCAGCACATCACCAGCTGGTCTGGGATGAGGTGTCACAAAGTGCGGCTCTGCCCCTCGGCTCCCAAGTCAGCCCTTGACGCCGTGAAGATGGTGTAAAACTCGAAGCTGCAGGCAAACCAAAGCGCAAGACAGAGGTGATCGCTCTTGGCGCGGTCAGTGGAGTTGCGCACGAAGGCGACAGGAAGAGGTCCGGTATCACCGATTTCTTCGCTGACTAGGGGACTTGCGCCAAGTTGGCAGCGGACGAAGCGCTCTGTGTGCTCTTCGCCGGCCACCGACTTCCTCAGCACCACGCGGACCACCCCCTATGGAGGAACGCTAGCTCCTGCATCGCTCGCGCGGGCGCGTCATACGTCCCTCCTAAGCGCCCCTACAACGGAGGGGCGGGCTTTCAGAAATGTAGCACGCGCATCAAAGCGGCATTGGCGCTGATCGCCGCTAGTTGATGCCGTGATGGGGTGATCATTGCGTCGGACATGGTGACCGACAGGTGTGGGCGCTCCCAAGCCAACATCTTACTCATCAACGACTCCAAAGCGGTATTAGCGGAGTCTTGTCGACTCCAAGATGGAGTCTAAAGCGGGCGGGTACATCGCGGGCCTCCTCCGAGTGATCCTGAGGAAGGTGGGGCCCGAGAATGTCGCGTCCCTTTGCATCGACCGAGGCTCCAACTACGCAACGACATGCAAGGAGCTCGTCGCGGAGTTTGTGCATATGGAGCAAGTCCGTTGCGTCACCAATGTCCTCGATCTTCTCATGGAAGAAATCGGGAAGATGGGGTGGGCGAAGGAGGTGGTGGAAACTTCGTCCGCTCCCCACCACTTCACCCGCGGCTACTTGAGGAGCGCCTTGGTGAACAGCGGCAAGGGGTGGCAAGATCTCAAGCTGGTCGGCACACGATTTGTGACACAGTGTATTGCAGTGCCCTGCTTCTGTGACGTCTGGCTCTTCCTTCTTCAGATGGTCCTAAGCAAGGAGTGGAGGGGTTGGGCGGTTGGTGGGAGGAAAGTGGGTGGTGATACGTGCAAGGCGCACGTCATGTGCGCCTTGTGGCGGCAGCTGGCAGAGTTTTTCGCCAAGCTGCTGGAACTTCCCCTCATCGCAATGCGGGCCACCAATGCCACCGCAAAGGGCATGATGTGCGGCATCTACGACTCCATGCTCCAGCTCACCGAATATGTCTCCAATCTCCTAGACGAGCATGCTGAGGAAAATGGGGGGAGGTGACGGAGGTGAATAAGATTGTGAAAAACAGGTGGGATGGGAGTCAATTCCGCAGTGAAGTTGAGTGCACCCGCGTCTTCAAGTCCTTCATCTCTCGTCACCACGCCCACCTCACCATCGCCTGCAGAGATGGTGAAGTGCGCCGTGCTTCCCTCGTGATTCAGGAAGGTCTCACAACCTACTTGAACCTGCTAGGGAGTTTTGGCCTCCATGCTGCCATTGCGGACCGTGAGGCTGTGAAGGAAAGGAAGTAGAGTGTCGTGCAATGGTGGTGCTAGCACGGCACCGACTTCCCCGAGCTCGCCACACAGCCCATGTTGGCGGCAGAATGCTAGCGCAACGGGGCCTCATGGGAGTTGGTCCACACGGCCAAGCTCAACCGCCTGGGGTCGAAG